GGGTAAAAGATGAAAGTGGGTAAAAGATGAAAGCGGGTAAAAGATGAAAGTGGGTAAAAGATGAAAGTGGGTAAAAGATGGGTACAAAGTGAGTCGAGGTAGACAGCTAAATAATGTGCACGGCCAAGAATGCAGCTTTGCACCTGAAACACTGATTTTTCAAAAACTGTGCTCCAAACCTGGCCACACAGCTCGTTGGTTACAAACATGCAGAATTTAGTGGAACAGCAACAGAAGCTCCTTTTGAGTCACTAACAGTCACAGTCCAGTGAGACACCACCGTCACCTGGAGCCTTTAGTTAACACCAGCGATAAGGTCTAACTCATCAAACCGGTTTGTCCCACTTTTGTTCCCATACCTACTTATAATTGTCAAAGTCTTGTCTTCAATTTGTTCCGCACGTTGCAATTTAAGTGTCTGCGTTTTTCTCATAACACGCAAAAGTGCGACGAGGAAACTGGTCTATGTGGGTGTTTTTGTGTTGTGAGCTAATTTATCTGTCAAAAAAAAAAAAAGTCAGGTTGTGTGGTTTGCTGCCTCTGCGGTGTTGCATGGCTTGTGCTCATGTGACGTGTGTAAGAGGCTCAGTGAGGTAAAGAACTAAAAAATAAAATAAATGATGAACATCTGGTCCAGTGTTACCAGATGTGCATTAACGCTCTCTAAGCCCTGCAGTTTGAGGAGTTAAATTGTTGGATTTTAACTCCACAGTGACCCCATGACCCGTCTGCAAAGCTCTTTTCTTTGTCTTTTCTTACAGAGATTAGCAGAAACTTTAATCAATTTCTTTAATGTTTTCAATGTGTTTGCATCTTGTGTTGTCTGTAAACAACTCATTAACTTTTGGAGAAAACCAAATTCAAGATGGCCACCAAAACTAATCGACTTTATCAAACATAAAAATGCAGATAAATCATCATTTTTTTAACAGATACTGAGGTAAAATTTGATGTGGCAGTAGCTGAGTCTTTTATATTTAAGATGAATTTATATAAAAATGAGACTCAATAACACTTGAAGGACATCATAGAGGATATCTAACCTGGCAGTTCTTACAAAGACAAACAACTAAACAAGCTCAGATTATTAATACAAACTACAGATATATTTTTGCTACATGGGTTGATAATTATTTATATTTTAAGCGTGACCTTGATTTGAGTTATGAGCTTAACTGGATCAGGTTTTCGTTTCATAATCCTGGTTTCTTCAGTGAGAGGGAATACCAGTTGGAGTGGTCTGGGTTAAGTTTTCCTGATGGTTCTCGACTTTTTGACGGCTCTCCGAACAAAGACCTGTGTTGTGACGTGTTGCATCATCAGCATCGTCACAAAACGAAATAAAACAAATCATTGTTGTCAGTTTCTTTCTGTTTTAAAATATATCTTACTGAAATGTGAGAAACATGCGGCTACATTGCAAATATAAAAAACACATGAAAAGACTTGTGTGATCCGGAGATTATGATCTCATTGGATTATTTGCAGCTGAAACAAAATATTAATTAAGACAGGCTAACATTAATTAAAACCACCTGGATTTAATTTATATCAGTTGTTGCCTTAAATTCAACCTAGTTTCATCTGATTTAGTTGTTAACTAAGTCACGCCGACACTAAACGCCATCCTTTCCAGAAAGGTTTAAGAAGATTGAGCTACATGTGGGGTCCTCAGCAGCTGAGATATCTCACAGAGGAAAACTACGACAAGAAGATAACACCCCCCCCCCCCCCCCCCCCACCACCACCACCACCACCATAATGACTGTTTAGGAGCAAAGACCAAGACATGGAGTAGGAAATTAAGTGTGTGAAAGAGTAAGATAAAGACAACAGTGCGTAGTTTTCCCACCCTGTGAGATTTTGGAGCTCATGTACATGTACACAAACTGAATCCATCCGAGGAGCAAAGGCCGTGCTCGTGATCTGCCTTGATGGATTTTATGGAGCGCAGAGACAGTTCTCAGGTGGAAGTGAGATCAATTTAAAGCTCAGCGTTCCTTTAAACAATGCACATCGCCTACCGCCTTCCGTACCAGAGATTTAAACTGAACTCTTACGATGAAGCTGGAGTTGTAGCCGTTTTGGTCAAACTCGTTATGCACGACCTCGTGAAGCACCGGAGCTTGAAGGATCACTGCTACCACCACACCAAATTTAGCTCAATATCTGTGAAACCTGATTCAGTTACAGAAATGTTTGCGTTGGCTGATGTTAATAATAAAATTCATAGTTTTCTGCACGCACATCATCATGGGTAGGGGGTCAGGGGTTACATAAACAAACCCACGTAGCTGTTAGAGCTGACATACACGACCGCGTTTCTCCCATTTATCGGTCCAGTTATTAACGTTTCTGGCAGAGAAAACACTGGATGAGGTGAAATGTTGGCGTGTCGATGCACTGAAGACGTTTTACGATCAAGGGGTCTGAAATACAGCAAAATGAGGACGGAGGACTGGCATCCTGAGTGTATGCTGCCTGTGTTATGAAGCTTTTCATACAAATATAACTTAATAACAATATATACCATAATTGCCGCCGTACACGTTGCATCGCCATATAAGTCGCATCAGTCCAAATATGTCTAATAAAGTGGAAAAAGCATAAATACGTTGCTTCGCCGTATAAGTCTCATCTATTACGCGTCACCGCTGACAACCTGGAAATGTGCGCCGGTGTTGTGCCAAAAATCTAATGGCTGCCAAATGGCGGCTGCGGGAGCATGCACAGGAGAACTTTAACAAGAATTTAACAAGATTAACACTTAAAAACAATTATTTGTTTGCTCGAAATGATAGCAAAGGTGTGTCTCAGTTGAACTTTTCCTTAATAAATGCACTTTGACGCCCAGGCGAAATGCAGCTAATTAGACTTTTGCTCCAGGATTTCCGGAGCGAGACGAAGGTGGCTTTGTATGGCAAGCCAAGTGTGTCATTAATAGCCACTTTTATCTATTAATGAGACACTTGGCTTGCCATATTAGTCGAGGGCCCTCTAGTGGCTGAAAATGGTAGTGTTCAATATTTTCCATGTCAGAATGAATTAATTCGTCAGATCTCAGACAAAAATTGGTTTATAAATATGGGGGGGGAACATAAATATGTCACTTTGCTGTATAAGTTGCAGACATGTTAATTTATGCAAAAAAATGTGACTTAAACTGCAAAAAATATGGTATTCTCAACTATGGCAACAAAAATGCAACCAAATCATGCTGAAAAAGGAGCATGGCTAAAAATATATGAAAAATCTTGGTTCTGATCTTAAAGGAACGTTTAACACGGACCAGTTTCGAGCAAATAAATTAGGTTTGTATAACGACGTAAATTTACCTGCTGAATGTGTCAAATTCCTGGAAATGTTAAGTGACGCACACACTCCCAACTATGAAATTGTGATATTATTAGTTGTGACGGCCGTCCTTTATTAGACTGACCCAAAAAGTTACTCCTTTGCAGATTCAATGATTCCTCTCAGAGTTTCATTAAACCGAGATGAGTGGTTCAGGAGATATTTTGCTAACAGACAAGGTTGACACCAACGGTTAACGCCAAAGTTTAAGGAAAAACTTGGCACATTTGATCGTGCTCTGAATGTGTTGGTGAAAACGCTCAGCTACTACCACACCAAGTTTTGGCTCAACGTTTGTAAAATAACTTCATTATATGTGTTTTGTGCTGATTGGCCGTGGCGGCCATCTTTAATTAGGTTAACTCCAAAAGTTGATCAGTTGTAGATGAACATCCAGTGATGAAACGTTAACATGCAGTGTTTATCTACCCACATGACGTGAATTTATATTAAAGAACCAAAATCAGTCGTCGGGTTTTATCAGACTGATTTCACTTTTATCATATCTTTATTTTGGTTTAATTTAACGTCTGACTAGTTTCTGTCTCGTTTTGACTACATTTATAAGTCTCATTAAAAAAAAATCACTCTGAGGCTCTTAACGAGTGCGTACCTGCAGGATGAGGATGAAGTAGTCGACGGGCTTCCCTCTCTGGTAGATGTAGTGATGAGACGATCGCTTGTCGTTCTCGTTGAACTTGATCTCCTGGATGACGTCGGGGTGCCGTAAAATTCGGAGCAGCACCTTATCTGAGATCTGAGTCATGTTGAACAAGCACACCTCTGCAGGAAGAGAGAAAATAAATAAAGAAAAATATCAAAACAATTTGTAATAAAAGCCACTCTCTCGTTTAACTGCTGTAAATATTTGTTTGAGCTCCGCTCTGACTGAAGCATCTTTTCCACCAGAGAACATCTGATTCAATATTTACATTAATTAATTAAAGGCGGTGAACGTGCACGAGTAACGAGCTAATTTTATGGTGAAATAATAACATCATTTAAATCAACACAGAGAATAGATTAACCATTTATGAACCAAAGGAAAAACATTTTAAAATCGAGCGCGACTGTTTTTGTTGTCTTAAAAGTCAGTTAGACGTTAAATCGTTTGTGATTATAAAAAGATTTTAAGCAAAAGCAGAAAACTATAAATCACACGTGAGCCAGAAACGGCCCTTTGTCCATCGACAACCTGACTCTCGATGTCAACAAAAACGAGAACAAAACAACCTGAAATGAATTAGACGATAATTTATTAAAGGAACTTAAGAAATGTTAAGACAAGTTATAAATTAGATTCTTAACGAGTTATAACAGAATGCTTGTTTTTATTAAAGTAGGCGTCACATAAAAAAAAAAAAAAAAAAGTTGTAACAGATAAAAACTTAAAAGTACTGCCGGTAAATGGTCAGAGTAATCAAAATACAAAGCATGAATTTTACTTTTACAGTTTTACTTGCAAGGGCAGACGTTCACAACTGATGTACAGAAGTTACACGCCCGGACACGACGATCTGCACCGGGCAGCGTGCGAGGTTTGCTTCTATAACCTTATCAGCTCTCGGCTCAGAGGCAGACACTGATGACCTCGGCCATCCAGCTGTACATGCAGGATCAAATCAGCTCCTCATTCAGCTTTCTCTGACAGAGAAAAGAACTCTACAGTAACTCAAACACACGGTTCATGGGCGGTTAACTTTCTCAGCCATAATAGTTATAAAACATCTATACAGTATATCTCGATGAAAAATCCTGACGGAGGGACAGATGGGGGACAATTTAGGGGACAAATTGACATTTCGTGTTGCTTAGACGATATACTGGAGCTTAGACAAGGCTATAACAAAGGTGTCACCTGTGACCTTTGACACAGTGACCTTGAAAGCAACAGTGCTCATCCTTGTCCCATCCACATGTGTAATTTGACATTTCTGTGTTGAAGGTTATTAAAAGAAGATGTCTAAATATACAGACGTTAGCACATTAAATGCACTGCTTGTAAACTTGTTGCAAAGATATCAAACTCAAAATGTGCAACAAATGTTTGCTACGTGTTGCTCTACAAGCAGAACGGAGCAAACCTTTACCGTATGTTTGCAGATATGATGGATAAATATGATGGATCCAGGTGGCACCACGAACCTTCAGTTCAGTTTGTGGTTCTTCAATCCCCTTCATTAAAAAAAGGCCCTCCAGTAAAAAAAAAAAAAAAAAAGATGCTCACCCCTGTAAGCGTTTTACTTTTTCAATTTTTAAAGTGACATCTCGGGGTGTGGTGTTTATGGCAATAAAACACTCTTCTCCTTCATTTTTTCCCAGCACGTTAGAAAAAGTTCAAGCCGACAGGATGAAATCTGAGAGCAGGGAAACGGTGGAACAAATCTTCTTAATAACAAATTGTGAAACCCTGCTCACTTTAGAGAGAAGGAACCTCCCTGCAGGAACAAAGCCGCCAACATTGAGCGTTACACAACAAACAGCTTTCCTCTCCTGCAGGTTGTTGTCTTCAGCCCTAACAGCTCGAATCGGGCAAACGTAGCTCGCAGTTCACCACCATGACTTTATGAAGGTGTTTTTCAACAAAACACATCAGCAAATTTAAACTGGACCTGTGAATATACAATAAATGATTGCTAAAGCTAAATCTGGACTTTCTAAATAAAACAAAGAGGTTAATAGATTGTGCATATTAAAGGTATTTTTAACAATACTTGCAGTAAAAATCTGTCTTTGCATTAATTTTGCACTTATAGTGAGGAGATCAAACCTGCAAACAAAACTGTTCAAAAACAGAATCATAAAAGTCTGATATTTTGTATTATTTATTTAAACATTGCTGATGATGCTAATTATTTTCATTTTAACCCATTAAAACAAGATATAATACATTCATTCAGAAAATGTTTGCAAGCTTTTACCCATAAAGTCCATTTTAAATCATTTTAAAAGACACAAAACAATGATTTTATTAGAAACTTATCAATATTTGGGAAAACTTCAGCATTTATTATAACAGTCAAAGGTTTAGCCTCTCAAATTAAATGTATGTACTGAGATACTCAGGTTTAGGTGGAAAGTAAAATGAGAAATATTTTTACCATCATCGGGTTTTAGAAGGTTGGTTTTTTTACGTCTGAGTGCGTTACATCACAGGTTTAGACAATATATTTATTACAAAATACAAATAAATATATATTTTAAAGTAGCTGTAGTTTTCACCAATTTAAACACAAGAGCACAGATTTTCTTTAAACGGCCTAAAAACTGATAATATCATTTGAAAGATATAATAAGAATGCTTTTTAAAGTCTGACAAATAGGTGAAATAATACAGTAAGTACAAGTTAGACTTTAAATTAATGCCGACTGGAAGAAACCCACAGCAGGTTTGTTCGTCGGACTCCACGCTCACGCTTGTGATTTTGTCAGTGGTTCGACAGCAGGAACTTACTAAATGTTTTTTTAGTTTACACGGATTTCTCAACCCTCGTGAGGCAGACTGTCGCAATCAGTGTTCAGCCATAAGAGGCCCGGTCCACACCCACACTTGGAACAAAGAAGCAGAACAGCGTGCAAACAAAGACCTGTGCAGCGTGCACATGCACACATGTAACAAATGGCCAATGTTGGAATTCAAACGAGCTCCTGTCATTCTGGTTCACATATTAGGTCAGGCCCCGCCCACTGACTGTTTTAACGACGTTTAAGTTACTGAACAGCAACACTTTTATAACCGACTACACTCAACTGTTTTATCAAACTCATTAAAACTTGTTCAATAGAAGATAAAAAAATATTGTGCAATGTCTTTTTTAATTAATATTTGTCTGTTGTAGCTACATTAATTAGAGGCCTAGCATTTTTAAAACCCACGCACATCACCCGCCGCCTTTCATGCCCACATTTTTTAAACCGAGATGATTTTATGCTGTTCAACATTATATGAACAGGATGATCAGTTATGACGGGACTTTAGATTCTTTGGTAATTTATTTGTAAATAAAATATTGTCTTCTCTGGAAGAAAAAAAAAAAAGTCTTTTTGTGAAGGCAACAGTGCAGTTCATTTTTTCCAAAGATGCAAATACTACTGCCTCATTTAATAGAACATAAACATAATATCTGTTACAAACAGTGCTGGTCTTTCAGAACCAATATGGGAGTTTTTCTCTAAATGAATAAATAACAGCTCATTAAATACACAAAAATGAGCATAAAGCTCATTTTGGGAAAGCTTTATGAATTAGACAAATACGCAAAACTCTCAATTTTACAACAATGTTCAATCAGGTCATGTGGACGGTTTCTTTTTTTTTGCTGAGACGTTTCATCCTTCATCCAAAGGACTTCTTCAGTCCGTGGAGCCACAAACAAACTGGAGTCCCACAAGCAGCACACTCCCATAGTGGAATAAACCAGTTTGCTGGTGATAAGATGGCTCTGTGTCGTGGCTTTGTGAAGTTTGTGGCTCCTCGGACTGATGAAGTCCTTTGGATGAAAGACGAAACCTATCTGAAAACAAAAAACAAAAAAAAACATCCAGATGACCTGACTGAACATTGTTGGATTATTATCTGGATTACTGAGCATGAACTTTGGGGTCTAAATTGTGCACTTAATCGCTGGAAACAGCGTTTCGTTAAACTGCATCCACTCGTTCATTGAATGTCTTGAAATAGACAAACACGTGCACAGGTGATTAAATTCTTGCTCTTCTTTCATAGTAGGGATGGGCAGTGATTTTCAAATAACCGAATTCTAGTTAAAACAGTCAAATTTAAAGACTTGTGACTGCTGCAGCTTTACCTTTAAAAACCCAACTCACAGTCTCAGTTTATTTTAAACGTATTATAAAAGTGTAAACCATGATCACTGGTGAGCTCAGCTTTACTACCTGAATCTCCTTTCACAATGACACACTTTACCAGTGAAAATAAAAGAATATAAACATCCCCAGCAGGATGCAGCGCACTTCTCTGTACCTGAAGCCTTTGCTTACTTAAAGGGTTTTCAGCTGAAGGACAAAATGGGACAGGACGGGAGAACGTGGGTGTTAAATATTCAAAGAAAAATGAATTTTCGCCAACAAAATTTGAAAAGTAATTTTGCTTGATGCCCGTCTCTAAGCAGCAGGTGATAAATGCCAACGATGCTGCAGATGCTGTAGCCGGTACGTCACACAAGCAGATGATGCATAGGTGGAGGAAGTGCTACGTCATGCCATGTGCAGCCAGCTGTTTCAGGACAGATCAGCTAACACACCAACGGGCAGACTGCAACGTGTTCTCCAGTGAACGGCCGACCACAGTCTGTGGCGCAGACTGAAATAGATCCTCTGTAAGTAAATAGCTTCAAACCTCCTCAGTGCTGTACGAGCCTGTTTGTAGTCATCTGACAGGTGGGAGGACAAAATCCATCATTTACAGACAACATGTGAGCTTTGTGTACACTTTGCTAACAGATTAGAAACACGGAACGCCCAATACGTTCTGCGTGAAACGAAGCTGAGCCCACCTGTAGCCAGGAAGCGATGAGCGACCAGCAGCAGCTGAGGAGAGATCTTCACCTTCGACTCGCTCTCGTGTTTAAACGCAGAAAAGTCTCTTTTGTTCTTGTTGTGCGCCACTTTTTTCCTGTTGCGATTATCGGCTGGGAAACGAAACAACACACAGCAGGCAAGACATTTATGAAAAACTTTGATGCAATTCTTATCAACAAGCAGATAAACAGTTGTTTAAAAGCTGTTTAGAGCTTTAACGACCTACAAACGCCTGAAACATTTGGAGCATATCAAACCAATAGAGAGATAAACTATAAAGAACAAATGTAAGATATGAAATAGTCAATTTTATTCTAAACAGCCCTATTTGCTAACAAAGGTAGAACAAACTTATTAGTTTTATTACAGTACAGTAGTCCCTCGTTTATCGCGGGGGAGCCGTACCCTGAAGCCCCGCGATAAGTGAAAAACTGCAACGTAGGAATAGTAGTACAAGTAGTAAGTAGTAGTATATTTTATTAATCATATATTTGTATATAAAGGCGTTTTAAACCCTTACCACACTCTTGCAACATTCTAAACAATGTCTCTAAACGCTCTCACAGAGTGTCATGATTTCAGCTCCCTGCCTCGTCGTCTCTTCGCCACCTGCAGCGCTATTGGCCACGCCCACTCCTCCGCTCTGCACGGAGAACAGCTGATCAGCTGCAGCAGGAAGTTTATCCTGCAGTACGGGCTGCACAAAGGTGCAAATAAATAATAAAATAATTTATTTTAAATAAAAATTCCACGCAGCTCGTGCGGCTCATCCATCAATCAGCCAAATGTGTCATGTGTCCAATCTTATTTTGAAAAAGCGCGATAGAGCGAGTCCGCGATAAACGAACCGCGAAGTAGCGAGGGACTGCTGTACTGTACATTCGACTCAAGCCACTCCTCATTTATTTAAATTTTGCTTTTGCTTCAAGCCAGACCTTAATTTTAAAGTAGATTTGATCAAGTTTCCCAAAATTTCTGGATTTTTGGGAGATTGCAGCTTCATTTTGTTTATGTTTCCATATTCCTGATGCATGAAATCTTGACATATTAGCATTCGTTGCAGTGAGTCGTAACAACGTCTAAGGAACTTGAAAAGTAAATAAAACAAACATTCAAAGATTTGTTCTTAAAATGCAAAAACAAAATCAGCAAAGACCTGATATAAGACCTGACAGATCCGTCATCCCGTGGCTGGTCTTCCAGCTCATAGCGCGTTAGGACTCACTTTGTGCAAATATTCATTTAAGCCTGTTAAGTTTGGATGTCCGAGGTAAAAAGAATGAAACGACAAAACAAATTGTCAGTTTAACTGATACTTTGTCTGCCAGTTGTGTTCAGACAGAAACAGGTTCACTTGTGCAGAGGTATGAATAAATTGCAAACAGGTACGTTAGGTGCAAGTTTTGAAAAAGTCACCAGTCCTCTGATATTTGATGGCAAAAGTTGCCGTACATCAATGCCAGCCAATACTTTTGTGCATGCACAAACTTTTCTATGCATGCCGACGTGCTGCTGATAAGTTAGGAATAAGTTACAGGTATGCAACAGGTAAGTTATGCACGAGTTCACACACATTACATATAAGTTACTCATAAGTTGACATACCTCAGAAACCATGTGGGCAACTGTGTAGAGTAACTTATTTCTAACGTTTCAGTTTCTAATATGTTAAATATAAATTATATATTTGTTCAACTCATTAGCGATACGGTGCGTCTACGTCCAAGAGGCTTCCAGTTGATTTTTTTATTCCATCTTCAGAGTTTTGGACAAAAATTTTAATATGCCGGCACAAATGATCCAAAACGTTCTGGTGCGACGGGGCCTTCCAGTTGGGTCCTTTGTTTGGAGCTTGAACGAATTAGAGTTATGTTGTTTTATTAACATGCAAACAAACAAAAAAGCTTTGAAAATTATTAGGTACAGGGAATGAAATCAATAATATCCAAAGAAAACTTTTAAAGATTATCATAAAAAACTGGAAAATATCTGCTCGGGGCTAATTCGAAAGGATTAGAAGAAACTCTGGCTCCTTCAAAACAAAACATGAAGCAAATAAGAGACGGCTGAAGACGCACGCGTCACAAAAAAGCACTCAAAACTTACTGTAAAGGTCCGATTCGTCCAGAATCTCTGACTTAATTATCTCCTCGATTACATCTTCGAGGGTGACCAACCCCAACACTTCATAGAACGGATCTCCCTCCCCCTCGTTGTTCACCTTCTGAACGATGGCCAGGTGGGACTTTCCTAAACGGGACAATAAATAAATAAATCTGTTAAGAGCTTCTGTCCATCCATGCACAGGACCTCCGTAAACAAACGGTACACAAGGAAAAGAAAGCTGGGGGCTAAATGTCATATCACAAACATCTAATCTAAATTGATGAAAGAACAAAGAGACACAGCTGGAATGTATGAAACGTAAAATTGACATTTAATTAAAACCATTTGTGGATCTCAAGCAGCAGGTGCAGTAAAATCATAAAGCGGCTTTTCAACGAGCTGAGTGAAGCTGACACCCCACCCACTTCCAAAATTAAAGCAACT